ATTACAAATGAAAAGACATGGACTAAGTGGCTGCGAACTCAAGTTAGGTACAACTTATATTCTCGCAGTCACTTTTACAATGAAAGAAAAATATTTTACAAGACATTAAAATATACACGAGACCTGGCGTGAGTAACAAACCTCCCATCCCAGAAGACACATACAGTTAGAATCTTTTTGTTTCTAATATATACTTTTGAGCGGCTAACATTATTTTACAGTTGGTATCATACGAACAAAGGAAACTACCGCGAAGAACTAAATATTGTATAGAATTATCAGAAAGGGTGTTTAAATCAACAATATTACCAAGTATGCTTGAAAGCTTGCCAAAAAGGACTAAGCGCTGGTAGGTGTATAAAGGGCAGTGCAATAGACGGTGAGTTCGACGTCATGCTAGCAGAAACACATACTGTTTAATGAAACCCAAAACGAACGCCCTGAAGAAGACTTTCATTTATAGATCTTTAACAGTTTGGAATACTTTGCCACATGAGGTACAAGCAGCAACTAAGAGTAGGTTTAGGCAGGAGTTGTTAGAGCACATGCGTACATAGGCACATGTTGATAGGCACATGTGATGTTACTTTTAAATGTTAAGTTAAATGTTGTATGTAAATAATGTTGTAATTTTGATGTAGTGTATTTGTACTGTTGTTAAGTATTTTAACTCCAGGAAGATTAGCTACATACTTGATTTTGCACCAATGTCTTGTGTGTCGCTAATGGAGTTTAATAAAGCACAAAGTACAAAGCACAACACCGTCTTCCTCGGACTGCCTGTGGTAAGTATTAGCTAGCCTCCACCACCAGGCCTTTCTACGGGAATACGGATCGTAGAATTCGGCAAAAAAGAGAGTGAAATTGGCCAAAGGAGTCCGGCCGCGGGGAGGTAGTTTCCTTCCCTCCGAACTGCGCGGCCAGTCAAACCTACAAGGCGGCCAAACTCCCCTTGCAAATATTCTCCTGTATATATAGACTGGTTACCAAACCTATTATAGCTCCCGAGTCCTACATCCTCTCTGCAAACTATTTGCGGAGAGGATGTAGGACTCGGGAGCTATAATATGTTTGGTAACCAGGCTACTGTATATAGCATACGTAGTTAGTCTGGTAGAGACTAAGTAAAAGCTTCGCCAAGAAGGTAATATGTTGTTCTCAGTAACTGTTTGTGAACAGCATAACTCAAGACTTAGAAATGATGAGATTTTGGGCCCCCATGCTACAACGTTGGTGGGGAGGGCGGACAAAAACCGGGCGCATGATAAAGAATGTCACAATTTTCCCCACCAATCTCTGCTTGGAGGGTACCCCCATGCGTCTTTCGTTGGTATTGTAGCAGACCTCATGATCTATTTGTTTATCGTTCTGTTTTTGTTTATTTGTTTGTCTATTTGTTTATCGTGTTGTTGTTATTGTTTTCTTTAGTGTGAGATGCGCCCCCACTTCGGCTGGCCGTGTGACGCGACCCTGCAGACCAGCATTGTTTGTTTATTTTGTTGTTGTTATTGTTTACCCAGTTTGTTTGTTTATCTATCGTGTTGTTGTTATTGCTTACCCAGTGTGAGATGCGCCCCCAGCTTGGCTGGCCGTGTGACGCGACCCTGCAGACCAGCATTGTTTGTTTATTTTGTTGTTGTTATTGTTTACCCAGTTTGTTTGTTTATCTATCGTGTTGTTGTTATTGTTTACCCAGTGTGAGATGCGCCCCCAGCTTGGCTGGACCTGTGACGCGACCCTGCAGACCAGCTGTGAGTGTGTGCAGGGGACCTTCTGTTACAATAAAGTCTGCGTGCGGCTGTTGGGATCGGACGGTGAGGATATGATCTGGATCAACGACGCGAACCTAGGCAACCACCCTCGCTAGTGCTTAGGGGAGTGGTCCGTCCCGGGATCTAAACTGGCAAACCCATGCAAGAACATGCCTACAGACCCGGTTTTAAAATAAATTGCATTGAATCTGTACTTTGTAGTTGTTATTATTATATTATTACAGAGTGGACCTTTCATTCATATACATATTGACCAGGAATATTAGGGGATATAGATCGCAGATTAAATTGTCGAGGGGCTCTAAACTGGCAAACCCATGCAAGAACATGCCTACAGACCCGGTTTTAAAATAAATTGCATTGAATCTGTACTTTGTAGTTGTTATTATTATATTATTACAGCGTGGACCTTTCATTCATATACATATTGACCAGGAATATTAGGGGATATAGATCGCAGATTAAATTGTCGAGGGGCTCTAAACTGGCAACTTCACTCACGAACGCGCCTAGCGCCTACAGACCTGGGTTTAGATTAAATTGCATTGAATCTGTACTTTGTAGTTGTTATCATTATATTATCATATAGCCAGAAGACGTTGACCAATCAGAAGACCCCATTTCCCATTGCTTATCAAAAGTGGTCGGTTATTAGAATAACGGACCACTTTTTGGACCGTATCATTATACATTTCACTCGGTAGTTTATTCGGTGGTTATTGCACCTGACCAGGGATTATCTCACCCTATATACACCTCAGGGCAGGGCATTAACCCTTTATTACCACTAAGTGGAACTTCAATCTAAATACTATCAAATATACCTGCAATGCTGGCGATTTCCTGAGCAGTCTTTGTACCCCTTCCCCCTTGTTTTGGTTGCTTTAGTTCTGAGAGATCTAAATGTTTCTGACCTTCGGAGATTACTAGACACTGCATCTGTCTAATTCACCTACACGCGGCCCATGAATTTAAGGGGAAAATTACCCTTGCCATTTTTCTCAACACGCTGAAGGTAGGGTCAAACTATTTCCCTTAAATCCAACTGATGCCTCAAAGCAAGTTATACAGATCCTTACAACCAGCACAAGATGGAATTTTAAGTTTTGTTCAAAAATACCCTTTTCTTCAACGCCCACTATCCGTCCCAGCAGGCATTGCAGCAACTTTTAACCAATCAGCGCGAAGCACAAACAGCGTGTTGCAATGTTGCCCCAGCTCGATACCTATAATGTATTATACATAGCACTTCGGCAGAACGTCTAATATAAGGTCGTATTTGCTCATATAAGGTCAACATCCCGTCCGAAGTTTCCAGATGTTCTGTCAAAAAACATATACATGTATTCTGCAACAGGCAAAATTCTGATGTAATGTTGACCAAACATTCAAGGAAAATCGTGAAAAAATCAGGGTTTTGCGCAGGTGCAGTACATTCTGCCAACGGACTTGTTGTCCCACCTGTTAGCTCACATGACCTTACTAATGTTAGCACAAAGGTCAACAAACTTCAATGTAAACACAGTACTGGCATTATCTGTAGGAGGCTTATAGAACTGGGGGTTTGGTGGTCTTCGGCTGTTTTCTGATTAGCCACCGTAGCAGGCTTATAGAATTGGGGGTTTGGTGGTCTTCGGCTGTTTTCTGATTAGCCTCTGTAGCAGGCTTATAGAACTGGGGGTTTGGTGGTCTTCGGCTGTTTTCTGATTAGCCTCCGTAGCTGGCTTATAGAACTGGGGGTTTAGTGGTCTTTGGCTGTTTTCTGATTAGCCCAGTTCTAAAAAACGGGGGGTAATTCAACCAGGCCGGCTATATTGTCTATATGCAATCAGAAAATAGCACATAAAAGCTCCCAAAGACCATGAAACCCCCCCAAAACCCCAGTTTTTTGGCATGCTATGGAGCCTACATTATCTGAGGGTAAACACAATTAGAATCATTAGTTTATAAATTATCATTGTAATTAATGTCTGAAGTTCACTAAAAAAAGACAAGGTTAAAATCATTTTACATTGAAGGTGTTTTATAGTGGTAAACAAAAAGTACATATTTATTACATATATATACATACATGTATACTGCTGACATCAGCAATTATTACATAAATATGGAATTTCTATGTCAATACATCGTGTAATTTCTCAGTTGACATAATTTTCTACATAGTATTTTCTTCAAAGTGTATCTTCGAAAAAACTTACAGCTATCAAAATAATTGTATTGTTGTCCGGGAAGTTTGGTACATTTCAATTAAAAAAAATCTGTGGCTAGAATTCACTGATGGGAAAGAATAAACTAACACATCTCTTTATAACGTGTAATAATACATTTGTATCTGTACAAACATAAATCTGTTGTCAGTAATTTTTCACAATTGAATTCACACTTTTAAATAGTCATCAATAGTCTAGAACAATGTATAGTAAAATTGACTCTAATTATCATAATTATATTAATCACTATCATTAAGTTTTCAAATGTCTTAACACAAACAGTATTAGATATCTTCTCATTATCTCATAGCTAACGTAGAATTTAAAAAAAAACTGATACAAAGATTTACGTAAAATGAAGACAGTATGTCAAAATAACGAACCTATTTGGTACCTACAAGTCCTATGTATGTTCCTCCTACTTGCACATTAGCACCAAATACATCATAATTTATGCAGGGCATAGATTTGGGCTTGCACATGTTTTTTTTAAGAATTATGTAAAATTTGTATGAATTCTTTGGCACCCCTGGTTTATTATTCTTTTAATTATTGTAAACTTTTTTACTGATAAGCAGCTTGTGCAAAAATCGGTAAAAACCATCTTCCATAATCTCGGTAAGTCACTCTGTCAGATCTCTACACAATGTTGAGTAAAGAGACTCTTTTTACACAACCAAGTCTTTTATTCAGCCCGTAATCATGCATATATATGTGTGTGTGTGTGTGTGTGTGTGTGTGTGTGTGTGTGTGTGTGTGGACATGTAAATACTGTACGTTTGGGAATGCATCTATAGCAGCGACACCTGTGCTGCAGTGTAATGTGAACCAGACTCGCCCTGAGGAAGGTGACAGACGGTCACCGAAATGTCGGCTGAATTGGTTGTGTAAAAAGAGTCTCTTTACTCAGCAAACTAAACTATTCACAGATATCTCTCATGGTCTGGTTTGTTATACCAAAGGTCAGTTATACCGGCTATACAGATACTAATACAGATGTTCGTGGTAAGTCAGAATTATTTCTACACAATGTTCTTTTCCCTGATCGGCTCGTTTCGCAGAAATCTCTCGAAGCCGAACCTCCTGAGATCTATCGTTTTGAAGTCTCCGTCCAGGAGTAACTCTGCCACCGCCCTCCCCACCGCGGGCGCTTGCTGAATCCCGTGCCCGCTGAACCCGTTTGCGAAGTAAAGGTTGTCGTAGATGGGGTGAGTTCCGATGATGGCGTTCTGATCGACTGTATTGTAGTCATAGTAACCAGCCCACGCCATTCTTAGCTGTGGAGGGGGGTAGTAGCATGTTGTAGTTTGATTTGATTTGATTTATTAGACTGTATAACTATAAGACATATGTACACAGCCTGGAATGCCCAACAAGCCAGAGGTTATTATAAAGGGCTAGCCCTCACAACAAGAACATAAACAATTCGGAACAGGTAGCAGTTAACAGTGTCGGTTACACTTCAGATAAACATACTTAGTTCATTTCACTTATTGGGAATGAAACAGTGCATGACAAGTGTTAGCCAGGCAGCAGCAAGGCTGGTAGTGGCTACCTCTGATACATACAGAATAATACTAGCCATAACAACATACAAGACCTACGACAAAATATGTTGTAGTTTTGACATCCAGACAGAGACCCTGAAGCTGCGAATTTCCCAGCTATGTCTTTCAACCAGCATAGGGGTGTTTTTTTAGGGGTGAACCTTCTGATCCTACATAAATCTTTAAAAAAAAGCAAATTTGACTTAAGAATGAAGCCAAAAAAGAGTAATAACATTTTTTTGGGAGAATACTAGACCCCTGCTGTGGCCTTGTTTTTGCACTGCAGAAAGTTGCCCTTCTGTACCTGACCCCTACGCTGTGAAAAACTCCTGGTGAGAACTCTGATTTCCCTACCTTGAGTTCCTCGAAAGCCTGGACCCTGTGTGCCAGGATGGGCCAGATGGTCTCGTTGAAGTAGTTGTAGTCCACTTCCAAATGGTTGGCATCTGGTTCTTCATGCTGAAACCACAATCAAACATTTCAACAATTTAAATCAAAGATTGGTTTGGAGAGCATTGTGATACTACAGAAAACAGATAGGGGGCACAACTAAATCCTTAAAGTTTATACTAACACATCATCACCATCATTTTGCCTCCAGATTTAATCAGAGGAGGTACACTTGATAAAGTTACTCCAATACACCCTGTCCCTCATAGCGGACACTAGAGCAGTCCATGTGAGATCAGTATCTCTTTCTAACATTGACAAAAGTGTAGTATATGGTAGTAAATACACATCATATCTATTCTTGTCATTCCTAGTTGAATCTACAGTGTGCTAAAGGTTAACCTTCTCCCCGGTGCCTAACCCTGTAACCAATAGTTTAAAGGTTGTTGGAACAAAAGTTCTCTTATGATTGACAGTGTGGGAGATAGGGATCACCAGTGAGAGTGTTTTTGTGCTGGAATTTTGACTGACGTGTCACCCGCTATTCCTGTACTCACAGTCTGTAAGAATCGGTAGCCAAAGGGCTACTTCAGTATGCTAATAACTAATAATTAAATAAGGCTTAAGAAATAAATAAGGCTTAAGGTTATGTATCCAAATCTGGACCACTGACCTCCTCTGGTGACTTCCCACACAGATAGTTCCCGGCTAGCCCCTCCCTCCTGAAGTACGTTCCTGACGGGTCCACCACCATGGGGCAGTCCAACCCAGGGCCGCGAGGACAGTGGTACACATACACGTACCTGAGAAATACCAGCCCAAAAAAGAACAAGAAACAGTCATGCCTTCAAATATCAATATCAACCAATGATTTAGGTTTCCAAAAACTACAAGAACTATCGTAGAGTGGAACTGGTTGAAACCAAGCACAGTTGAGGCATCATTACTAAAAGAGCTTTAACAACTTCTGCAATTAAATGAGCAAAGATTGAATGTAATAAGTAGTTTTGGTGTGATATACAATGTAGCTAGCTGCTGCTGTGCTGCGTGCCTGTGAAGCTGGACTGGTGTGTTACGCCAAAGGGCGGTTATACTGGCTATACAGATACAAAATGGTTTATTTGAAAAAAAAAGGAAAGTAAATTATCTTGATCCAGCTTTAGCTCTCTGAATTGCATCTTCCACTGGTCATGACAGAGAAGACAGACAAGTTATGTACAGTATTTACAGGTTCATTGTACCAAAGAAGAAATGGTTTGACAATGTAAAGGACTGAATTTCCACCACTTGAACCTACATAACGTCAACCCACAGGATAGGGGCAAATGGTGGGCTGCAATCAATTGAAAGCCGCGGTGTTGAAGTGCAAGCACGGGACGGGGAACAACAGACGATAAACCGGATAGTGAGTAAGGGTGAGTTACAAAATTAAATACACGTACCTCTTGCGCGGTTCTACCGGCAGCGGTGCCTGCAGTTCCCAGTCCAGCCCCATGGGATCCTCCTGGCCAATCCCGATCATCCTTGCGATGTCTTGCGCCCAGGGACCGGCTGTGTTGATATAATGTCCTGCCTGCACATTCTGGTACTGGATACTGTTGATCATTTTTACCTGTAAGACCAGGGCAGGGCACAAAATTAATTTTTGGCGATGTCTCAGGGAGGAACCTAATGGTACAGTATTGTGTGCAACTTGCAAGAATTCTAGTAGAAATTGGACAGGAATTTTGTCCACAGGAATGGAATGTCCACCGGAATGTCTCCCAGCTCTGTTTGCTGACATGCCCACATTCCTGGAAACCCTTGGGAAAACCTGTCTGCCCCGGATGCCCTACTTTCTGTGACCCAGGGCTCATTCACTATACACTCAGGGGGGAGGAGTGCACTGTATCTGTCTAGACTTAACAGGTACCAAGGCTTCCTCAAAATCATTTTATCATGGCAGTGTCATGCAAAAAAATAACCCTACAAAAACCTTCTTGTCCGCCGTACCTTGACATGTGATATCTTCTTACAGAGCCGTCCCTCGATCATGCCTGGTTTGGCATCCACGATGAGGTCAGTGACCTCCCCGTGGCAGTGGTTCACTCCCAGGGAGATCGCTTTCTTCTTCAGGGCCATCAGCAGCAGCCAGGGGTCGAACCACCCTTCATTCTCCATACCTGAGGGGAAATCACAGTTATCTATTATAAAGTCAATGACCTAAATCAGATGTCTATCACCATGGTAACTGATAGTGTAGCAGACACCCTGTGGTGAGCCATCAACAGCAGCCAGGGGTCGAACCAGCCTTCATTCTCCATTCCTGAGGAAACATGAGTGAGTGAGTGTGTGAGTGAGTGAGTGAGTGAGTGAGTGAGTGAGTGAGTGAGTGAGTGTGTGAGTGAGTGAGTGTGTGAGTGTGTGAGTGAGTGAGTGAGTGTGTGTGTGAGTGATGAGTGAGTGAATGAGTGAGTGGCAGTGATGAGTGACTGAGTGAGTGATGAGTGAGTGAGAGTGTGAGTGAGTGTGTGAGTGAGTGATGAGTGAGTGAATGAGTGAGTGGCAGTGATGAGTGACTGTGAGTGAGTGAGTGAGAGTGTGAGTGAGTGAGTGAGTGAGTGAGTGAGTGAGTGTGAGTGAGTGAGTGAGTGAGTGAGTGAGTGAGTGAGTGAGTGAGTGAGTGAGTGAGTGAGTTCACTCCCAGAGAGATCGCTTTCTTCTTCAGAGCCATCAGCAGCAGCCAGGGGTCGAACCAGCCTTCATTCTCCATTCCTGAGGGAAAATCACAGTAACTGTTATATATTCATCCAGGACACAGTTAGATACAACAGACTACTTCCAAAGAATGGACAGGGACAAATGGCCAAAGAAGATCCTCACACAGATGTAGAGGGTCCAAACCCTTGTGGTCCCCCAAGAAGGAAATGGTCTGACAACATAAAGGAGGACCTCCATCACTTGAACTTAGATAACATCAACCCATAGAACAGAGGCAAATGGCAGGCTGCCATCAAGCCCCAGTATTGCAGTGCAAGAATGTCTAACCCTCGGAAGACAGGGAACAACAGACGTTAGACTGGATAGAGAGAGAGAGAGAGAGATCTACCTAGGTTGAAAAAAAAATGTTGTGTTTCCTGTTTCAATAAGAAAGAAATGATGCAAATAATGTACCTACCATAGTTTCCCAACTCTATCCCTTCAGTGTTGAGCCATGGGAATTTCACCTCTAGTTGTCTCTTGGTGAACAGCCTCACTTTGGCACCTAGTGCTCTATGTGCAGAATAATAGCATCTGTTTAGATATTACATCATGATTATGTCTATTCTCTTCATTCAGTCACAAATTACTTTAGTTATTGCAATCTGTACAAAAAAAACAATGGTCAAATGTACATGTATCACATGCATTCATCATCATCATATTCTTTATTGACACAACAAAAAAGTACAGGGACTTTGACGTATGGTCTTCTACAACTAAAAGATCTAACAAAGCTAAATACATGTTAAACCTTTATTGTTATCTCATACATATATTCTGTATGTCAGTGGCATCAATAAAGGTTTAACTATTCTCTCTAACATGTGGTCTCTAAGATTGAAACATTCTTTAATGTATTTTCTTATTTGAACTTACAAGAAACAAGATTCACAAGTCAAAACATAAATACTATATGACAGGCTAGCAGTTAATTGACACATACAGTGGTTACTCACATCTGTGTGTCGTGTGCTTGCTTCAGTTGTTCTGCCCCTTCTGCTGTTGCCAGAAACAAGTAGCCCTGAAAAACAGAAATTTTACAGATCAGAACAGAGTCAGAAATGGGATGCTTAAATTTCTTAAATAACCCTCATGTTTAATATAATGAATTGAAACTGGGATCAAGCTTTGATCTCTGAATGGTAAACCATGAAAATAAACCACCGAGACAAGCTTTGCATTTACAACACAAGGATAGAAATACTGTGTGCATATGCACCTTAAAATTGAGCTGGGGCTGTGCAGGTATTTTTGATGTCTACCTGCGCTTAACCTGCACTGATCCATGTATTGGGTTCATATATGCATGTAGGTGTATGTGGATTTTTATTTGCTGCATTGATGGTTTCCACCTATGAAATATAATGTGGCAATGGCTTCTACATGGTTTTTAGTGTAATCCATACTTCCAAAATTCACAACATTACAGTTCAAACTTGTTTCATAATGACTTCTACCAACACAGATGAACTTCCAAGATAAAGTCTGTATTCCTACCTGAGGGTTAAACTGCACGTCCGGTGGGTCTTCCTCGTAAACGCTGAGGTACTCTCGGATGTTTCGGATGAAGTGAGAAGAGAACATGGACATGTTGATGTTTTCGGGCAGGGTGAACTGTTGCCTGATGGACCCCACAGATAACACCGTGGACGCTCGCGTGTACTGTGGGTGGGAGAAAAGTCTGGTTTAGTATCCAGTGGTAGAAAATACTTTTTTCAGTGTTCTACAATATCCCAGAATGTCAACTCAAAATGAGCAGAAATCCAGTCAGAAGCTCTGAGGAAAGGGTCTGATAGACACTGAAACGTCAGCGCTAAGTTAAGAAATCTTGGTTGTGTAAAAGAAGCCTTTTTTTCAGTGTCCTGCAATATTGCAGAATGTCAAAATTTTGCTCTGCAGTTCGGAAATACTTTCTGCAAAGAAACACATGAGAGGAAAGGCTGTGGTTTAGTAACCGTATTCCTAAGTCCTAGATAAAAATGGTGTGTTTACTGTTGCCCAACCAACCCTAGAAAAAACTGGTGACCCCAGCCTTTTTTTGGGTGAGAGCCTGCAAGGGACATAAATTATTCGAGCTGATCAACCTCTTCTAGCTCCATGCATGATCTGACACTTGAGTGATGAAACATCTTACAGTTTATTTTCCAACATTGACATTGAAAACTTAAGTGTCCACAAGTTTTTCCTTTGTTATATAGAATTGTATAATTTGGATCTCTAGAGAGCCAAAGGATAACACTGTAGATGCTCGTAACACTGTAGATGCTCGGGTGTACTGTATGTGGGACGAAAGTCTACCGGCTCTTAAAACTTAGCGTACAGCATTGTCTGGACCTCATATATTCGTATACAGATACTTACAGGAGGATCCTTCTCGACCATGAGAACGTTGAGTCCGATTTTCCCGCGAGCTTTCCTGGGTACTTTCCGCATCAGCCAGGACCCCCCCATGCAGGCCCCCATATATACGTAATACAGGTACTTACGGAAGGATCCTTCTCGACCACGAGAACATTGAGTCCGATTTTCCCGCGAGCTTTCCTGGGTACTTTCCTCATGAGCCAGTAGGCAGTGGACCAGCCCATCACACCACCACCCATTATCACTATGTCGTAGTTGTTTATAGGCATGTTCGGGTTGTCCCAGCTGTAAACATAAGCAACAAAACAATGTAAGTTGAAACGAGCCCTTCTCTTTTCGATAAGTGCAACGGGCTATTTAACGTGCTCGGGGTGTGGGTCTCCCCAAACATCGTACAGTAGGTAGGTTCGAATCCTACCATGTCACCGATCTTGTGCCCTTAGGAAAGACACTTTACTTTCCTCACTTCGCTCAGGTGGAAATGAGTACCTAGCTTCGGTTGGGGACGAACATGATCTGTTCCCACATTTTCCATCCTACAAAAAAGCGAGAAGAAGTTGACCACTCTGTATTAGCTCAGTAACTATAACACTTTGTATTAGCCTGGTAATACATGTACTATTAGTACCCTTGTATATATGTTCCTTATGTATGTATGTATGTCTTAGTCAAGTAGTGTATCTTTTGTCTCCACTTTTCTACATACGTCTGTAACGTGTATGTTAAGTCTTGACCTGTACCTAGCCCGTCGTGGCATGAATGTACAATAAAGGTACTTCCTTTCATTTCATATATCTTGCTGTACTAAGCTTACCCGGCAGTGAACCCAGGGCCTGGTGTTATAGCCGTTTTCATCCGCTGTTTCGCCTTATCCCATCCTTCGTCAAAAATCTTCATGTACCCGGGAACAAACGTGCGTCTAAAAGTTCTTATAGCATTCATGATGTTTACTGGGGAGAGAAAAAAGGCTGGGGTAAAGAGAAGAGAAGTTAGAGAATCTCTGAAAACAACAACTTCGTCAGCTGTCACATGCCATAGTGACCTGCGGATGACCTGACCTCATATTTAGCTGACCGCGAAAATTTAAACGTTGCCTGAAAAAATTATAAAGACTTATGAGGGTAACCATAGCCAAATTTCTAAATGGTAAATAAAATGACATAATTATATTTATGTAAACACATTCTAAATATATTGGAAACAATTGTAGTTACCGTAAATTCATGACGAAAGGTTTACGGATACAGCATTTGCGTGAGGCATCATACAAAACGCAGCGAACACCAAACAAAGGGTCCTAACAGGGTCATAGCAAAGGGGAGGGGAGGGGGAGGGGCAGATTTTTTTAAAACAAGTTTGCCCCAAATTTTAGATGTTTTCTTCCGTAATGGACATGTGGCATATAGCGAAGAATGTAGGAAAATGTTAACAATAACACCATTCAACTATCTGAACTGTAGATGATCTATTAATGTACTCTACGCATCATAGACATATGCACCGCCGTGCTATTTTAGATGGAGGAGTGGGGACATCTAGCGGTTTGTGTTAGAACGACACCACACCTCAAGGCTCAATGCAGCCAAAATGTGGTAGCCTCTACCAGGCTTCGGGACGTGGCTAGAAGAGTAGAGATAGGTTCGATAAGTATATCGTAACGTTAACTTTACACGTAGAACTTCATGCTAGCAAATAGTCTTATATCACCACATTTTTCTTGTCACTGTGTCTGTTTGCAATTAGCCCTCGGGCATGAATTTGCAATAAACAACTCTAAAGTCTATGATAACATGCCAAGGAAGTTGGTCTGCTAGAATTTACAGTTTGCCGCACCCGAACTGTATTCTCTACTAAAATTTTTTGACCAATAAGAGAGCGGCTGCATTTACGAGAGAAACGAATTATCAGTTCAACCAATGACAGCTTGGTAATTAGAAGTTTGACCAATGAGAGAGCGGCTGCATTTCCGAATCCGTGAACTAGGTGTCATCAGCGGGATCTACCAACTACTGGTAGGGGGTGGGGAGAGGGCTGCGTGTTTTTTTAGTGTATAATATCGAGATAGAACAGCAAATACTGAACGCATTCAAAAGCTCTATCTACATTAAAACTTCAACTAACTGCACACGAATTCCTGGAGGATTTTGAAGTAGACATTTCCATTCTGGTACCTCATTTCTGTCATGAATGTTATTGAGCCAATATGAGGGTCTGCATGGGGGGTAGTGACTACGAATTTCGCAAAAATTTTCGACGCCCACATAGGAGTTAACGTTACATTAAATTCTCAGAGCTGATTACGACTTTACGCTTTTGGCTAATACTGATTACGAATTACGTTGATTTTTGGGGAGACTGCCCACGGATTACGAAGACTAAAAAGGCCTGATTACGCCTTACAAAAATCGGCATGCAGGCCCCCAAAATGCCAATCACTGAGTCAGCCGGTCCCGGTAATGTATGCGAGCCACTGGCCGCTTTTCCCGCCACAAGACTTATGGCGTTATATTTGAAACAACTCAGGCCAAACGCATTTATACTACTTTATTTAGACAGACAGTGTCAAATTAGTGAAGGTTTCTGTCATAGAATTGTATATTCTCGTGGTTATTCTTGTTTTTTTGTCCGATTCTGGTCCAGCCTCTTGGCTGATTCATCTGTCAATCAACGGTCGTCCGTAGTTACCCCTTAGCATCAAAGCATCAACCATTAACCATGGGGGTGTGTTTTAAAATTGTCATCCTGTTTGAGTTGAAAAACGTATCACAAAAGAGACTCACAAGATGTTATATCCTTTATGTATTTCTCTATATGTATGGCATTTGTTGATTTGTTTCAAAGAGTGGGGCAAAGAGGTTGAAATAACATTTGCTTCTACATTTCTACCGAGTTACCGAAATGTTACAGTCCTGACCAATCATAAAGCCAGGATTCTGATGGAAAATTCCGTCCAAACTTTTCCCACCATTCGTAAAGTTGAACCCACAGGACTAACAACCTGCGTACGGCCGAGGGATTACGAGCGCACATCGGCGGCACACAAGGTAAGCTTTTTCTCCTTTTTCTAGCCGTAGAATTACACTGGCTACCCACGTATTACCTTTTGTAGTGTTCGCAGAGAAATTGGCGTATGTAAGGATGACTTTTGAGAAGTTTTTCGTAGAATTTCTGTGAAATTTCTTTCATCTGCATGTGGCGCCCGGCAAGCTTGTCTGGAAATTGTACGTTGTCCGGTCCAAAACATTTCCAAATTCTTCGTTTTTTCGTGAATGTGGTACCATAGACTGAGTGTAACTGGAGTTTTCAACCGAGATTTTAGCAATTTTCTGTCATGAATGTTCTTGAGCCAAAAATGCCAATCAGTCGGTCCCGGCTGCTCCCGGTAATGTATGCTCATTCCCGGACCTTTTTTCCCGCCACAAGTCTTCTGGCGTTTATTTGAAACAACTGACGCCAAACGCATTTATAGTACTTCATTTAGACAGATAGTGTCAAATTAGTGAACGTTTCTGTCATAGAATTGTATATTTTCGTGATTTTTGTCGTTTGTTGGCGGATTTTTGTCAAGCCTCTCGGCTGATTTATCTGTCAATCAACTCGTCGCCCGTAGTTACTGGTAATTGTTTTGGTCGTAATTTCGCCGAAAATCGACGTTTTCGCATACAGTTACCTCAGAATCATCGTGAACATTGTTCTGAAATTTTTTAGTGGTACTCAGTGCTTCATATTTCTTCGTTTAAACTGGAAAATGTGATTTACCGTCCACACCGTGGCCGGTAATGTATGCAGACTCCCCGTGCCGCGGTTCCCGCCAGAAATCCTGTTGCGTTTTTTTAAAACAACTTAACCAACCGTGTTTATGTCATTTTATTTAGATAGACACTGTCAGATTAGTGACGGTTTCTGTCATGACAATGTATATTTTCATGGTTTTTGTTGGGTTTTTTTGTCCGATTTTGGTCCAGCCTCTCGGCTGATTTATCTGTCAATCACCGGTCGCCCGTAGTTACCGGTAAATGTTTTGTTTTTTTGGTAGTAATTTCGCCGAAAATCTACGTTTTCGCTTACATTTACCTCAGAATCATCGTGAACATTGTTCAGGAATTTATTAGTGTTACTCGGTGCTTCATACTTCTTCGTTTAAACTGGAAAATGTGATTTACCGTCCACACGGCCCATGATAATGTATGCCGAGTCGCGGTTCCCGCCAGAAATCCAAGCCTGTTGCGTTTTTTTAAACAACTTAAGCCGACCGTGTTTATACCATTTTCTTTACACAACGAGTGTCAAATTAGGGAGGGTTTCTGTCATAAAAATCTATATTTCCATGGTTAAAGTTGATTTTTGCTCGATTGTGGTCCAGCATGTATGTATGTATGTATGTATGTGCGTATGCTCGGTACCGGGCCACGATTCCCGCCATATGCGTCATTTGATACGTGTTTGTACACTTTATGTAAACAGCCAGTGTCAAATTAGCGAAGGTTTCTGTCATGAAATGTCTGTTTTTATTCTTATAGTTGCTTTTTGCCCGATTTTGGCCAAGCCTCTCGGCAGCTGATTTATCCGTCAATCACCGGTTTCCCGTAGTTACCGAAGATGTTTTGGTCATTATGAAAAACTTAAACTTTTCTCCAACTCAAAATTTGACTCCACCTCAAACATGTTTTGGTCATGTTTCGCGCCACGATAATATATGCATAGCCCTGACTCCGACCGCCAAAAGACCTGTAGCGTTACATGTAACAACTTTAGCCAAGCATATTCGGAGCAATTTATTTGAACTGCCGGTGTCAAATTGTTGACGTTTTCTTTCGCGAAATGGCAAATTTTAATGTTTCTTGTTTCTTTTTTTTACCAGCTAAACCTAGGTTTCCAGTCCAGCCGGCCGGCCAAAGCCGGAGTTTGGATGCCATGGCGTCAGAATTCCTCCAGCCAAGTGCGTTTACTGTAAATTTCACTATTTCTAGCTCTAGCATGATACTATGTACACTGTGACTGTGATTAGCGCAGTGTGTTGACTGACTTCGTGTCCATATATCGTAGAGTTGACTGATTCTGTGCCCGTAACGTAGCGTTAAGCCTTGTGTTTTTTGTTAAATCTGCAGGATGCACCGACGAATTTACGCACCCCTCTCGTATCGGGGTGACCCCGGTCTGTCACATTTAACTAACTACTAGTCTTTCCTTTTGCACAGGGCGACCCTGATGGCAGAAGATGGTACTGCAGCACTCAACAGGTTCTGGCTGAATCTGAACTCGAGGATTGGATTGTGGGAC